AATCTTCCTCTATCAGCATATTTCAAAGATCAATGTGTATTCTCCAACTGACCCAGATCTGAAGTTTGACCCTCTTGTCGTTCCTGTAGATGGTCTTGACTTTGAAGTCGATGCCCACTGTGCTGACAAAGGCCGACGTGAAGGAGTCGTCTGCAAAGCGGAACAGGAAGGAAGTCTTTCCCACGCTGCTGTTGCCGATGATCAGCAGCTTAAACATGTAGTCGAAGTTCTGGTCGGCTGCATCTTTATGCTCCTGGCCCGCCCCTGGATCTCTGGTTAGTGCCATCTATCAAAAGAAGAAGGACAAGAGGAGAAGAATGATACTTCAGACTCTAAACTTTATGAATAGATTGTGAAACTCAACTTGATAAAGTATCCACAGTCATTTGAAATGTTTCTAATGAAATCTAGGATAAAGGGGGGGAAATGTGATTCATTCTCAAATAAATATAGCAGCAAAAAGTATTTCCTTTTCAATGTGAGGATTTGCTGCTCTTGTCAGTTTTATATCAGTGTAAATAAATACCTTTTGGTTTCTGACTGCTGGTAAAGTCATTTGAAGACATCACATTTTGGTTTTATATAAGCTTAATCCATTCAAAAAAGACAAAATAACCAACAGCCTTGCAAACAATACAGCAGAAAACAATAAATATTAAATGTGTACATATAGACAGAAGAGAAAGATAATCAATAAATCACCTTTTGAATAAACAATACAACATATAAAGAATACTATAAAAGACCAACCAACAACTAGGGCTGCTCGATTATGGCAAAAATCATAACCTCGATTATTTGGGTCAATAATTGATATCACGATGATTACAAACTAAATGGATTGTTATCCATTTACTTTGAAAACATCAATTTATTGAAAAAAGAATGTGTAGTATGTTTTTAACAGTTGATTACCTTGAACTTTAAGTATAATTCAATTGAAAAACCAATAAAAAAATGTATATATTTATATTTTTAATAATTTTTCATAATGAGCAGCCCTACCAACAACTAATAAAAACATAAAACTATACACATAACACAAGCTTCTTAAATGTATAAGATAATTGAAAGGGCAAAACTGAGTGGAAGAAATATATTAATAAATATATACATTTAAGAAACTATGAAGCCTGGAGTTCTCTGCGGGCCAGGGGTAAATATCTTAACTGAATATTTTAAAGGTGGGGTAGGTAAGTTTGAGAAACCGGCTCGAGTGCGCTAGAATTTGAAAATACACAGCCGGAAAAAATCTGCCACTTCCTTACAGAGCCCCTCCTCCAACACACACGAACGCGCTCATGACCAATGAGGGCACGAGATAAGTTTGTGCACAGATGGAAGGCTGACAGGCAGGTAGGCCATCCAGTTACTTTAGCCGGGCCGGCTAAAATGATTGGTCGTGCTTTTTACAGCGCTACGGCTTCCACAGATGACATTTTTTAATGGATTTTTTGTCAAAGCACTTAAGATATTCATTGCTATCGGGATGTTAAGAGCATTCCATGGAATATAACAACAAGTGTATCTCGAGCCGGTTTCTCAAACTTACCTACCCCACCTTTAACTGATGAAAAAAACAAATGGGATTCATTCTAGCCCCTGCTAATTCCAGTTACCTCTATACCAGTGTATTACAGAAGCATTGCGACATGCAACAAGTATGCCAGCTATGTGCCAGGCACAGGGTGCTCAGCTGATAAAGCCCCTATCATGTAGTAAGCATTCAACATGAGTAATAAGTAGGCTCCATATCTTCCTCCCTGGCTGACGCTGGCTTATTTAAAGACTGGTGGGGTTGGGGGATGTCTGGGACAGAAATGTGGAAAGACAGTACTCATGTGTTCAAATGACAGAGTGAGGAATCCCAGCTATTTGAGAATTCACACACACAGGACTGAAATTCATCCATAGTAAAAGCTGAGCAGATGTTGGTAAATGGCCGAGTTGTTTTAACAATGGTCTACCTCCCCACCCCCCAATATTCTTTAGCTCTCATCCCTGTGTTATGAATCACAAACAGGGCCGCTCCTTCCACCCTCTATCCGTCATCCCCTGCTCGCTCTGTCTATTTGTCACATGGACGCGTGTAGCAAAACGTATGGGATAAGTGGACGCTGAGCGGTGGGCGAGGGGGCAATATATTCTCCACCCCTTCCTGTACATTTCATCCATCATCCACCTGACCTACTGACACTCCCATTTAAACACACCAACACCCATTTATCTTCCTTTACTTTCTCTCTCATTCTCATCCATCTATGCATCTCTCCTGTAATCATCCATCCATATCTCCCCCCTCCCACGCCACACTCTCTCCTTCCTCCATCTTTCTGCATCATAAGGAAGCTGACCAATGCATTCATCCTCACATCCTCTACCCCCCTCCCACCCTCTCCCCTCAGAGAGGCTGAGCCCACTCCTGTTGTACTCCCTAATAGCTGAGATCTCTCAGGAGACATGCTCAGGAACACCACTTCCAAGACCTTAAAGAGGGACCGGTTGCTGTGCACTCTCAGCAAAACAACTAATATCTGCGCATGCGCCAACACGTCAGTAGGACAATACAAACAAATAGCTGTTTTGAGGTGTATTACTCGGGATGCTAAAACTAAAGCAACATAAAAAAGGTCATTTCGCCTAAAAGCAGCATAATACAAAATATGAATCATGAACAGATGTTGACACCTGGCATAAAATACATGGAAATTAGTATTTGCAGTTGGGTCATTCTACAGAAAAGGTGGAAGTGCTGTCACTTACTTTTGCAGACACCAAAATACATGACGTTGACCTAATACTCACATTCATTATATATGTTGAATAAATAGAGATTGTCTTTGCAATGGTACTAAATAAAAAATGGTTTTATAAGTAAATTGCAATTTATTTAAAATGTCAAGTTCAAGGAACTGCCTTGTCACTTTGATCATACATGGAAGTGGAGCCTATAGTTTTAATTTAAATGTATTCAATAAATAAATCTAATTTATATTTACATAACATTACAAGCATTAAATATAACACTGAAATGGTAAAAAAAAAAACACAAAACGCTTTTATTTTTGAAATAATGTACTGTCTCTGAAGTGCCTCCTGTAACAAGAGATCATTTGAGGCAGTGCAGTGGACAAAGACATAAGGAAAGTCAGATACTTCTTACTTTGTTTGTTAAAGGTGCCATTTTATCTTCAAATTTTACATGCGTCTTTCAAGTCTGTCATTAGTGTTACTCATTGCATAGCCCTAGGGGTGAACATTTGAATGGGAAAATGTATTGTATTGAAGAGTTAAACGATTTTAATATTGACTGAAGCCATATTTAGTCTGACACATTGCAGCCATTTTGTTAAAATGGTAGTTTTTTCTCCAAATTGTCACTGGTGTTACCGTCACTGGTGTTACTCTTCTTCCTGGTAACACCAGTGACATTCCTATACAAATAAGCTTTGTATAAAGTATAAAAAGAATACAAATATTGTAAGCTCTACTTGTTGTGGATTCATCAAGTTAAGAGTTAGTTATTGCTATTTAACAGGTTTTAGATGTTTTTAGAAGGAATATATTTCAGCAGATTTGTATCACCCAGATTCCACCTTTTCTGTAGAATGACCCAGTTAGCAATACCAGGCTGTGGGGACACATGGGCTCGTGACACTTGTTGAAAGTTAGAAATAATCTAAATAAATATATACAAACCAGCCTCAAGTAAGAGTACGACACACGCAAAGTTTTCTGAGATAAAGGTGGACAATGTTTCAGTCGAATTTGTTTCACAGCCGAATTTGCCTACACTGTCCCACCATACGGTAGCTCTACCGAACTGATAGCATTAAAACAAACACTCCACTGTTTTTGACAACTGTGTGGAGAGTAAATTACCATGGATGTGGTTTATAAGTCCGTCTCCTCCGTCCTTCCAGCGGTCTTCTTCCTCTACCTGAAGCCGATGGGTGTGCGCTGCTGTCGGGCGCTGAACTTCACGCGCTCCGCTCCTGGATCTCCAGGCTCAGGCTGTGCATGCGCCTGTTACTGGGACACCACCGTGCAACGAGTCAAGTCAGCAAGGATATAGAAACGGAACTTCCGGTAGAACTTTCAAAAATAAAACCATTCGTTGTCTTTCAATCTTATGTGAGATTCAACCAGACTTTGTGTGATCCTGTGATGATAGTTCCAGAGCTGCTCTAGTATTTATATATTTTTTAAGAGCTGTAACTGATAATTATTTTCTTAATCCAATATTGTAACGATTTGAAATTGGTCAGAAACTAGTCAAACATGCTAAATGTAAACATTATCAAATGCATTGTGTTGACTAACCAAGAGTCTGGGAAACTTTAGATATTCAATATCATGATACAAATTAAAGATTTGCAGCAAACTGATTAATTGTCATACATGTCTCATGGTACTACATTGACACAGTTTGCATGAGCAGTTGTGCTGCCAGACTTTTAATTTGAAGGTTGACTCACTTTATTTCCGGAATGATTCTGTCGTAATTGACGCAGACTCATTAGTTACTTGTATGCGTCCCTGCTGTAAACAGTGTTGAATGGGACAGGCATTACGCGGCACAAGTAACTCATCCAAACTCATGACCTCTCCGTTTAATAGGTCACATTAATACCGTGGCTAAAATATAGCAGCTGATTCGTAAGGTCTAACATTCCCATTTTAAACGCTGAACTTTAAGAGTCTTGAACAGGTCTTGAATCAGACAAACCCAAGTTCTGGTATTTTCAACAAGCATCATCCTGACTGTGAGCAATGCAGGGGAGTCATGCACCCAGGCACATCTTTCATGTCCAAACGGGATAAGCTCTACTTGGGTTTGCAAACCACAAAGAACGGTTTTGTTTAGCAGCGAGAGAACCAGCATGCTTCTGTACTGTAAGGCCTGATTGCAAATGAGACAGAGTAAATCATGTTGGAGCAAGAGAAAAGCTACAGCTGCAGGGTAGTGATGCAAACAAGCTGCCAAAACTGCAGTGGGAAAGAGTTTATTATTTGTGCTTGGCAACACATCGTCCCTGAGACTGCAGTAGCACACACTAAACAACACACTATTTACAGCCAGTGTACTTCAGACTGGAAGAATACACTCACTGTGAAACGTTTTTCTTACCTAGCTTTATGAACACAAAGAAGAAGATTGACAAAAACTCTAAACATGCAATGTCGACCTGTCACATAATATACAGAAAATACAACAGTTAAATGTTTTTTGAAATTAAGAAATGTTCTAAACACAAACAGAAGCATTCTCTATAGAACTGGACCACAGCAATGGATATTAGGCTCATCTTAGTCCTGTGCCAAACAGTACAAAATGTACAGGAACTCTTACATGCAGAACCTTTTCCGATACATATTTAAAATAAAACCTGTATCAGCTTGAACAGTTACATTGTCACTTTGGCCAAAAGCAACAGTCTGTTTCGTAAAATAAGAAAATATAAAAGTCTCTAAATGTTTTATGGCCCAGCTTACCAAACAGTTTTTACATGCATACCTTCTACTTCAAACGTTGAAGAGCTCTGACTTATTTCTCATCATGGCTTGTCAGTGCTGGGTGTGGTAGGTTTGTCAGCAGGCTTTGGGTAACTTAAGTGGAAGTATTGGGCTGCATCGCTGTGCAGCCATAAACGTTGGAACTCTTTGAGGAATGGACCCACCAGGTGCGGATCCTCGGTGACGATGACGTTCTCCTTGTTGCTCTGCACCGCTGTCATCGTCCAGTTGAGGGAGCCGGTGATGAGCAGCCGGTTGTCCACCACCGCAAACTTGTGATGCATGTACACAGAGCCCACGTCGCAACGCGCACAGATCCCTGGGGAATTTAGAGGGGAGAATCAGAACACCTTCAATCGTCCCACAGAGGAGACATTTACATTTGTTACAGCAAGTAAAGAGAGGAGGTTGGAGAATAGTGTTTTAGGCTAAGAGATTGTTCTTCAGTATGTGCAATGTTATTCTAGGTTGCGCTAAAAAAACCTCAAAAGAAAGCAGGGATGTTGAATGCGACATAATGTTCTGACCTGACCAGAGGAAAAAAATAGATGGTTTATATTTGTAGAAAACAAGTGCCTTTAAACCTCAGCACTTCTCTACAGACTAGTTATCCCCATTGCAACAATGTGTGTAAATGGGTGAATGAGGCAAATTGTAAATAGTTCTTGTCCCCTTACAAACCTAGGGAGACATTATGGTATAGCAGTACATTTATCATTTAAAGTCACATGAATGTTTACATTTTCCACTTCCTTTTTCTTGTACAGACTGAGAGGAAGAATCATTTTCATAGAGAAACCCAAGAAGGAGCTATGACATCTGACATACATTTTAAACCTTTATATTTATTTCACTCGTCTTGATTTCTCAAATATAAAATATGTATGTTTTTCTATGATTACTCTCACCTTTTAAAAACCCCAAATATGTTCATATTCTGATATTGTTGAGTATTGCAAATACAAGTCTGCTTACTAAAAGGTCTGCAAAGTAAAAAAAACATAAATACAAGTTCTAATACAGAATATAGAACAAATACAAAATACTTTAACAGTTTCTAAATAAATTGTTTTATTTTCTATTGTGTTCAAGAGAAACTATCTAAGACAGAAGCATTATTTTTGTATGATAAAATATTGGGTTTGCAGATTGGACTGCAGGAAAAACTTTCAAGGGAGACATGCAAATTCTCTCTTGAAAGGTTAAGTGCATGCCCCTTTAAAAAAAATGAAAAACAATTACCACAAATGTGTTTTTGATAAACCATTTCTCTTGCAGGAAACATGTCCCCTTGACCCCCTAATTGCAGTGTGTAAATGCTTTCAGCTCAAAGTGAAGAGAGTCAAAAAGCGATCTTAAAAGAGTAAATGCAACAGGCTTAAAGTCTGATGTCTTTCCAGTTTCAACCCCAGGACACACACACACACACACACACACACACACACACACACACACACACACACACACACACACACACACACACACACACACACACACACACACACACACACACACACACACACACACACACACACACACACACCACACACACACACACACACACACCACACACACACACACACACACACACACACACACACACACACACACACACACACACACACACACACACACACACACACACACACACACACACACACACACACACACACACACACACACACACACACACACACACACACACACACACACACACACACACACACACACACACACACACACACACACACACACACACACACACACACACACACACACACACAAGTCTTGTATTACTGTGTGATCTTCTTTGTTGTTTGTTTTTAATTATGCTCTGTAAGGTGTCCTTGAGAGCTTTGAAAGGCGCCCATAAATAAAATACATTATTATTATTATTAGGGATGCATGATATTGGTTTTTTGAAACCGATACCGATAACTTCCTGCTTCTCAAGACCGATACCGATAATAAAAAAATGTTTACGCCACTAATTATTTTAACGCATGTGTATCTGCCGCCCGCTTGTGGCTCCAGGATGGTGGAATGAGCTCCCCATTGACATCAGGACGGCAGATAGCTTGCACATCTTCCGGCGCAAACTGAAAACTCATCTCTTTCGACTCCACTTCGAGCGATAGAACTATTAACGAAGCACTTTTATACTAATAAAGGGCTGGCTTTTCTAAAGCCAGTTGAGTAGCACTTGAAATGTTTTTGCTCTATGAAACCTGATGTACTTATATGATTCTATTTTCTTCAAGTTGTATTTTGTTGGACGAACGCACTTATTGTAAGTCGCTTTGGATAAAAGCGTCAGCTAAATGCAATGTAATGTAATAATGTAATGGCAGACCACACTTCCACGCTCACCGGCAGGCACCGACTGGCCATCTGGAGGACCGGGAAGGTGTGTGTATGTGTGGCCCGAGCGAGCGAGAGAGAGACCTTAGGTGCATTGTTGTTGTTGTTAGCATCTGGTGCTAGCTAGCTGCACTAACGGATATAAGGAGCTGTTTAAATGAAAACAGAGGAGCGACATTTCGCCACAACTGCGCCGAGCACTTGACTTTATGCAGGAAGCCAGACAGTGGGACAACTGAAGTCAGCACACTCAGCACGGATAGTGCGCAACATGATTGCAGCGTCCAGGCAGCTCCGGTTCGAGCATATGCCTTGAGTTGCACATAGCTCCAACGCCCATACCACCGACGACATGTTTGTTTACTGTCCTGGCTTCACGGCCGCACACCATTTACGTCACAGCCAGGCATGAGTTAGGGAGCGCTGGATTTGTGAAGAACTTCCCTCTTCCTAAACCACTAATACCACAGTACTGGCAAAACGGGAGGAGCCGAGTGAAAAACAAGCGCCCCTGATCCCAATCCACCCACACCGCAGTATTTTTTCTTTTTTTTTACCCAAAACATATATTGTATATTATCGGGGCTATTAATACTGGTATCGGGTAGGGCTGTGCAACTAATCGTATTTTAATCGCGATTACGATTATGGCTTGCGACGATTATGAAAACAGCATAATTGACAAAATACGATTATTTTGCTGGGTGCGCTTCGCCCCTCCCTAAAAGCCCACTCGGCCACGTGGGAGTGACGTGTTGTGAGTGTTCAGCGCGAGCGAAGATGTCAGAACAAGAGCAGCAACTCGTTAAAAAGAAGGGTACAACTATTTCCACTATTTGCAAGTACTTTGCCATTACATTCCACATCGCTAAAGATATGTGCCCAGTTAGCACTGTTAGCAACCAGGGCTTTAAGCAACTTGTCAACACGTTGGACAAGCGTTACGCGATGCCGTCTCGGTATTATTTCAGCAGGTCTGCGCTGCCTGCACTATATGACAAATGCCGTGGGGAAGTTGAGAGAGATGTGGCTTCAGCTGACTACTTTGCGACCACAACAGACCTATGATCTAGCCCAGGGGTGCCCAACCAGTCGATCGCGAGATGTGTCTAAAAATAGAACAACAATATTCTGTTTTATCGTTAATGTCCTGTAACATAATCTTCCTGTGCCAGAATAATGCACTTGAACGCATCAAAGCTTTGTGATTGGCCGGCGTCACCCCTGTGTCGGGGCGTGGCTGAGGGTCTTCAGTACAGGTGGCAATATCGTCACCTGTCTGCGCTCATCTCTGAAACCAGACCATGTAAACAGCCTGGTGTTTCTAGCAAAACATCTTTAAGAGATGACATGAGCTGCCCTACCAGCATTTGCCATGGTGGCCTAAACATTTTTATTTGGTCTTAAATTGTAGTTCAACATTTATTTCCTGTTACTTCTGGACCATGACGGTTGGCCAGCCTTCAACGTTTAACTGAGTGGAATATGTTGAATATGTTTTACCAAAATGTTGGCTATATGTTAAGGAGTGTTCAGTAGGTTGTGACAGTGCAGTGCATCATATTTGATTTCATTTATTTTGGTCTAATTTATTTTTATTTATCATATTAATAATATATGTTTAGTATGGTTTTGAAAGTGTGCTCCAACATATTTGTTGATCTTGTTTATTGGTAAAATATTATTTGTTTTAAAGTTCAATAAATGGTCAATGAATAATCGTCAAAATAATCGTGATATCAATTATTGACCCAAATAATCGTGATTATGATTTTTGCCATAATCGCACAGCCCTAGTATCGGGTTTATCGGGATGACGTCATAATTCCTAATATCGGACCGATAATTATCGTGCATCCCTAATTATTATTATAGAGTCTATGAATTAATTTCCCTTCTGAGGGAAATAGTTGGACTTAAAAACCAATGACAGCAAACTAATCCAAAGCACTATGCTTAGGTGCTAGTCACATTACGTTATTCGAGGATAAAAAGGTTGCTGCACACAAATGGATGGATTATGAAAAAGGAGCTTATTGTGCCAATGTGATTCTCACAAGGTCTGCAGTCAGCATACACACACTTAGAAACACTCTTCCTAATGAAAAGTGCTGCTTGCTTGCCAATTTCTTACTTACTTAATTCTTACTTAACAATATGCAGAGGTAGTAATTTATTAAATGCAGAGGGCTGAGAGAGAAAGGGAGTCTGACACATGACACAACATCTTTCAGAGCTTTCAGACCAAGATTATAACTCTGACTCATAGAAAGCCTCGTAGTAGAAACCCCCATTCACCCAGATATTTCCTATCATCTTTTCATTCACCTGTTGGGAACCATCTAGCTCATAGCTAACACTAATAGTCCGAGAACACAGCGGGAGTACCTTTTACTGAGGTAGACCTGAGTCATAGTTGCCGTATTTCAAGTATAATATGACGAGATAATGAGTGAGGTACGTGTGCCTTTTGTACCAAATAATATCTCTAGTAGGGCTAAATATGACCCCCTGGACCTGTTTGGTGTATTGTTCGGCATAGTGATGCTTCGTTAAGGTGACAATTAAAATCCCCAAGCATGAGGACGTTTACTTTATGATGATTTAAAAAACAAATAGATCTGTTTCTCTTACCGGCTCTGCGAAGAACCCCTATCTGGGAGCCATGGATGGCGGCGTAGTCCTTGTCGCAGAGGACTCGGATGGTGACGCCCCTACATCGCAGTGTTAGTACAGCCTTGCATAGGTCCATGTTGGAGAAGGCAAATACACACACGTCCAGAGAGGAGGAAGCAGACAAGATGCAGCGGACAAGACGAGTGAAAGAGGTCTCTACGCCGTGAGGCAACGAGCAGCAACATGACCTGGAAGAGCAGAAAACAGGAGAAAATAAATGTGCTGATACTCCAAAGCGTATACTAAACAAGCTTGTTTCTGTGTATGTAGTTTCCTACCCTCTCTTCCAGGTTGCAAAGTTACAATAGCTCTATTTAGCAAGGAATGCTGTTGTATATTTTAAGCTGGCAAAAATGCTTATAGCCCCACTTTTTGGTTTCTCTGTATTATTTTATTTGAAGTACTTAAGCAAGTAAAAGACAATTCTGTAAAGTGAAAAACAATTGGGATGAGGAATGGTTATTGCACTGCCTAAATCCACTTGCTGAGAGCATCTAGGGGCTATGAATTTTTCCATTAGAAACCATTATCACAACACGCATGACAGTGATACAGAGAAAATAATATATAGCTCTCTTTACTCAATGTAGCAATTTAGTTCCACCTACTGAGGCGATGAGGGAGCGAAGATGTGCTCCAAGCAGACCATCTCCGAGGGGAAGAAGAGGACCTCAGTGCGGGTTCTTTTAGGCCTGAGGCGATGGAGAAGCCAACCCAGCAGCTCCACGCTGAGAGAGAGGGCCACCACACCCAGACACACCACCTTCACCGTCCACATAGCTGACATCTCTACAACACCATCATGGTTAAGATCCAAACATGTAGTGTAACCATAGACTGTATATATAAAGAGTGTAACACACACTTTCTGAGCAATCTAACCTGACCTAACTGGAAAAGTAAAACTACATGGTTGTTCATTTTCTTTAATGGTATTTAATCAGTGGTTGAAGAAGTAATGTCTAGCTATAGCGCTCTCTAACGTTAGTCGATAATTGTAATATTATGCAATATCCTTCTAGTCCACAGAAGCCGATATTTTTCTAGTTTAGCAAGGACATTGATTACAAGGTGTTGGTTACATCATTACATATCAGCACAAAACACTGACGAAGGAAGCCAGACTACGGCACAAATGTCATGGAAACCACACTAACTGTCAATATGTAAAAATATGTAACACCTTAAAGTATGAGTTTTTTCAGGGCATGTTAAACCATAAAATACGAGTATTTTTAGACCACACAACAAACCTGAGAGCTAGCTTCTGTCGCCACCACGCGGGAGTAAGCTGTCTCAGGCGTTGATTCGTCACAGTCAATCGACTTGACTGACGTGTCAGAGAGCCAATCACTATCCAGGAAGCATTAGCTATCCTCCAATCACATAATGCGAACAGTTGACTGTGCCGGGTCTCGTGCAAGCTTTTTCTGCTCTACAGCAACGTGTATTTCCTACGAGCAAAGGTAAACAAATTAAACTTTTACTACATCACGTTTAACAATCCCAACATGTTTACCAAGTACGGTTAATCGAGGTGTTATCAAATCTGTTTACTTACTAGAGTCCATTTAACTATTCGTCGTGAGGCGATTTATGTTGTACTGGAGATCAACAACAAACATGCTAACGTTAGCCTGCTAACTAAAGTTGCTAACAATATGGAGCGGCAGCAGCTGCCGACTGGAGTGGTTTTCCAGTCAAGAGTTTTATTTGATCCCTGTTGATTCTCCTCCAAGCACATGTTCTCCTTGTTGAAGCTGCCTGTTTTTGTCTACTCCTCATACAGACTTGATTTAGTTTGTTTGAAATGGGTCGTCGCAAGTCTAAAAGAAAGCCCCCTACTAAGAAGAAGCTGAGCGATTTGGACTCTCAGTTCACCTGTCCGTTCTGCAACCACGAGAAGTCATGTGATGTCAAAATGTACTTACAATTGCACCAAACTATCCACTCATCAGCAACTCATTAAAGTTACATGTGTTGGTATTTCAGGTTGATGTTGCTAACTTTTGTTGTACTTGTTCTGCACACAGGGAGAGAACCAGAAATACTGGAATAATATCATGCACAGTCTGCTTGGAGGAGTTCCAGACGCCCATTACCTGTATCCTTAAGCAAATGAATCATCATCTTGTACATACATGTATAACATTATTAATGACGGAACCGTTCAAACCACGTTTTTCTTACAATGAACTTTCAGTGGTTTTTGAAGCGTGCAATGTTAACTTTTGTTTTTGATAATAGTAGTTCAACAAAATATTTTAAACGTTTTCTTACTAGTTTACAGGCATTTCAACCCAGTATAATTTATATTAAATGCTTTACTGTCTATACTATCTTTTCCAGCATCATAAAGATCTCTGCCCACACTTAAACAAATTGGTTAAATCTCTTCTTCCCCTTTTCAGTTTCCGAATACATAACGGCACAATACCAAGTCTATATTTTTTAATACATAACCATTCTGGGGACTGCTTTGAAAAAGCTTAATTTTTTACAAATGTGTGTATTCCAATATAGCCAGCTTAATGTGGTAGTCATTTTGATATCACATGAGTAGGGGGTCTGAATATGATAAGTAATACCTTTTTCAGAAGAGTCTTGATTTACAAAGTTCATATCATCCTGCACCATCATAACACATTTTTAAACTCTTCAGCAACAAGTTCTCTTCATCCTTAACTCATTGCTCCTCAGATCTATCGGAAGCAGTTGATGTGTACAGTGATTGGATAGATGCCTGTGAATCAGCCAATCAGTAGCCTTTGTGGAGCAGGATGTGATTCAGGGAGGGGATGAGGATGCGGCTGATGATCCTGGGCCCATTAGGATCAGGCTGGTCAGAGGACATTTATACAACTTTTTATTTAAAAGCTTTTATATGGTTACTTAAGATTAAAGTTCTGTGAACCAAAGTTTCACTTATGTGGTATTCAGCACAAAGAGGCTCTGAAGCTCTCCTTTGTCTCATGACTTCTCTTTCTTTGTAACGTTTCAGCCTGCAACTCCAGTGTTGACTATTGAGATTTATAAAAAAATAGTGATCTAACCTGAATAATCTTCAAACATTGAGAGATTTTCTATTTTCAATATTAGTTATTTTTAAATGTATTGGTCTAGTCTTTCTGTTTTTAATGGCTAGATGTTGTTAGGTTCAATAAATATTATTTTTACAAGAAGCCTGTGTTGTCAGAAAACTAGCTATTGGCATTTTTATGTAAACATCAATAAAAAGTTAAATATTTGTGGTTAGCATTATGAGAAAAAGATGTGAATATACAGTATGGACCTTCTATATTATACACTGAGATGAGTTGCAAGGCCTAAATGAGGAAAGGAACCCTCCAGATTTTCAAAGTTAAGGTGTGAGTGACCTTCTTTTGATGAATGTAAACACAGTTCATGAATGATACCACGCGTTGTTTCCACAGCTATCCTCATCCTCATAAAGACCGTTGTCACAACATGTCATTCCACTGGAGAGAGGAATGGAAATGTGTAAGATTTATGCTTAGCTGCTAAATTCACAGGTTCTGAATTTTTCTTAGGAAATTCTGTTTTCAGTTAATTGTATGTTTTTGGCTTAAATGTTTTTGTTTTTTTTAAATGAGTACAAATGAAATCCTCAAATCAAGTGTTAGTATTCAGTGTTTATTTTACTATGCATTAGCCACCAGTGTTGAATAGCATAGAGAAATGTGTTTTTTTTCTTTTAATGTTTTGAATTTGATAATTGTGATCATGGAAATAAAGGAGCAATAAGACTTGATGCCAGCATGTGTGTTTAGTCTTCATTTTATTGTGTAATGAACTTAATCTACTACATTTCCTTCGAGAACGAACACACTCTATATGTGATCAAGACGTGGTTGTTTAAACTTGGTTGGATGTAACTTAAGTCTTTATTCAATGGGGGAATATGAAACAAAAGGTAGTCACTAATATTACACAACGCAAACATTAACACCACTGAGCACCACCAGCTGGTGATAATAGGATGGACAACCTCACAATTATGGTTGGGATTTAGATGAACAATAAAATAAAAGTCAATAAAGAAAATGGTTTCAAGAACTCAGCAAGTGTCAGAGATAATAAGTGGCTTAAATGAAATCGTGTTTTAAAATAATAAAGGGTTTATAGTTAAAGTTGAATGAGGTGAAAGAACTCAAAGACTTCCAAATTAGGTTTTTATTTGAGTTTGAACCGCTCCTCAGTTACAAAGTCAATTATACACAGTTGTAGTCATCATTTTGGTTAAAAGAAAACCTAGCACAAAAACCTATACAACTAGTGAATGGATGGATGGATGAACCACAAAACCCCCCTCCCACATTTCCAGTTCTTTAATTCAAAGGTGCCAAAGACTGTGCCCGTTTCTCGTGTTCATGACTTCTGATCTACTCTCCTGTGGCATCTGTGACCGTGACACAATTTGAGGAGTACAGTGCCCATTCATTCCCACAGAGCACAGGATGAAGCAGACCACAAATGAAAGAAGACACAGTGTAGCGAGGCTGTGCACCGGGCAGGGCTGAGTGATAATAGATGAGATGTGGAGTGCCTGCCCGGGCTCTCCACCCAGGTGGAGTGTCTCCTTGCATGCGCGCACTGCACTGTGTATTGTGTTTGATGATGGACCCCAGCTGGAGAGGTATTGACGACGCCTTATGAAACATGCTGGAGGATGATTACAATGGAGAATGATTATCACATAGTCTCTCGTCTGTCTCTGCACGTCCCCTCCCACTCCCTCCCCCTCTCTTCTATTCCTCGCTCCTTCTTTCTCCTCTCCCTTTCAGCACGCGAGGTCAAGTGTCACTCCGTCTCCGTTGTCAAGGCTGCCAATCACCCACACAGTGAGTGCGAGGCAACTGTTGCCAAGGAAACAGAGCGATTCGGTTGCTAGGCACCTGGAGCTGTGCTCACAATAGTCATTTTGTTGCTTAGAAGCACACACACATGCATACACACAAAACCACAGAAAGGGCTTTGTCGAATCAACAAGTTTACACAACGTAATGTCGACATTTGTATGAATTATAAATAACACATTTGCTTACGTAGTAGTGCGGAATCATGGAGTAGTACAGGCTAAGAGTGTAATTCATCATGGGCACATTTGCAAACGGATGCTAATTTACTGCTGAATTAGCAATGCAATGTTGATTTTCTAATTTATAATACTTAGCAATAATGCTAATGCACCAAATATGTAATTCAGGATGTTTTATTCCAACACCTTTGCCTCCTGATTAATCAGCATGCCCTGATGACGAAGAACTCCTCAGACCCACACCTCAAGTTGATCAATAAAAGACATAAACATCCATCATTCTGACTAAAGATAGTTACCCATAAAATCTATCAATCCCTTATTTCCCCACTGGCACATGGACCCAGTGAACCTTGCTGCAGTGTGTGTGCTTTCATACATATGGGGATCTGTCTGTGTACTTGTTTTTATAAGATCCATCAATCCCATATTTCCCCACTGGCATGTAGATCATGTGTACCCTCATGCAGTTTATATACGTGTGTGTGTGTGTGTGTGTGTGTGTGTGTGTGTGTGTGTGTGTGTGTGTGTGTGTGTGTGTGTGTGTGTGTGTGTGTGTGTGTGTGTGTTTCTGAATCCCCATCATGACAGCCAGTCAGCGGAGCCGCATGCTGAAATGTCAGCCACGGGTGCAAGTCTTGACATGTCCTCATGTGTTACTGTCTCCTGTTGCTGCGGCTAAAGGCATCCAACTCTCACACATTTTAAGTATGAGCCAGGGAATACAAAATATGAGTGAAAGAGTAGTGGGATGGGAAATGATGGATGTGCACGGTTACAATGTACAATCCCATGGTCAGCGCAGCCGTTTACATTCATGAAACCGATTTCGCAAAAACTTTAAATCTGTTTTTGTAAAACGTTTAGAGTAGAGTGTGAAGGGCTGTGAAAGACACTCATCAACTGATAAGCTTATGGGCTCACTTGTAAGCACGGCTGACTGACAAGGGTATGTAATCAAGAAGGTTTGGAATTAACGTCTGAGTCTGAAGACTTTTGTGTTAAGCTCCCTGAACTAATGCCCAGGGGGTTTAGTTTAGTGGCATGGTGCAAGTCCCCCCCCCCCCCAGCAGCACCTCTGCAGGAGAAGCTCAACCTGGCCAGCGAAACAAACTCATTTCCTCCACAGGTGTAAAGAGTGACATGGTTGATAAATCTACGATGATAAAACCTTTTCAGTGGCTGGATTTGATTTGGCTAGCCCTGATTGCGGTTCTATTTAAAAACCTTTCTGATTGAACAAAATAAGCCTTTCCCCTCGTAAAAAGTCACCTCTGGGTTCTTAATTAAAAACCGCCCCAATGTCTGTGTCACCTACTCAGTTTGGCTATACATTTTATATGTGTCTGCCTTTGTGCTCTCCTGAATAGAGTCTTGCTTTTGGTCCGCTGTAGATGATAAAGCTTCCACTCGACTACGCGTATTCTCAAGCAATAACATCCACATCTGTATTATCAACCCAAGAATACCCGTGGTCGAGACCGGAGCAAAAGAGGCCCACCTCCTCCCCCTCCATTCCTTTTTTCTCTCCTCTGAGCTCTGGAGCTCATTCTCCTTTTTTCTGTGTGCTTCCCTTCAGCTCCTGCACTCAGAATAAGATTGCAGCGTGGAAGAAGGAGGAGGTCTGTGTGTGTGGAGGCAATTTCTTTAAGGACACCACCTAGAAATAAGAGAGACAAAAGAGATCATATTTATCCTTGCAGTAGCATCGCTCAGAGGTTATATTACACATTTC